ATTGTTAAATATTATTGCTTCGAGTGCTTATATCTGACCCCAATATGTAGTTTAAGGAAATTTGTTCAAATAAATATTTATACTAATAGTTTTCATTATTAACAAGTATTATATGCAGTAGGGTGATTCACTAGATCTACCATTCTTTATTTTTACTTTTGATATTAAAAAACTGGTACTATGTAGATATATTGCAATATGTAGATACCCCTGCTCTCTTAAAATGAATAAGTCAAAAATAACTAATTATAAGTCATATTTGACTAATAATCAGTCAAATTCTACTGAATGAAATAGTCAAATTAGTAGATTTAAACTTAAAAAAGTTTTGACCCAGCCGGGGATTGAACTCAGGTCTGTCGCTTGTCAATCTGTTGTCATACCAATGTGGCTATCAGTCACTCTTATAAAAATCAATTTTATTTATAATAATAATATTTATTTAATCCAAGAGATCTTTTACAGATATAGGATAGGTCAAAAATCATTTAACACAATAAAACAATGAAAGAGCTCAAATTAACCGACACAATCCAAAAAATTAAAGGCTAAAAACTCATTTACGGAGTAAAAAGCCTTACTTAAAAGTAAAGTTTTTAATTTGCAGAAAAACTTGTTTCTTTCAAAGTTTTTAAATTGTGCAGGTAATTTATTGTATAAAATTGCTCCAATATAATATGGGTTAGAATCATACAATGTCATAGAATGATTGCAATATTGTAAATTGTTGCCATGTCTGGTTATTATTATGATAACAATTTTGTAAATTAAATTTGGTTAAGTTTATTTTAACAAATTTCAAGATTTCAAAAATAAATAAGGAAGAGAGTGTCATAATTTTCTCTGAGATAAAAATGTTTCTACAGGAGTCTCTGAAGTTTATTCCAAACATGCTTCTAATTGCTCTTTTTTGTAGGATGAATAGTCTATTTACATTGCATGAATTTCCCCAGAAAATAATTTGTTCATAATATTTTCAAATTGAATATATTATTTGTGTTGCTGTTTTGAGATAAACTTTTTGCATCTTTGTTTGTTTTTATTGGTCATTTAACCATGGAGCATATGCATTTAATTCATAAAATACTTTGTTGTTGGTCGCAAACGATTAAAGAAATTAGTTACTTTTAACTCTCAGATATAGTCAAAGATGGTGACTAATCTTAAATTAGTCAAACTTCAACTATTTACGTAGTAAAAAATAACTATTTAAAAGTGAAAACGACTATTTTATTAGTTAAAAATGCTGGTACTAATTCAAATAGTAGAATTTGACTAGTTCATTTTAAGAGAGTGGGTATACATATTGCAAGTAACACTATTGCTCTTATTGCAATCTCCAAGTTAGCTTTAAAACTAAACAATAAAACTTTGAATAAAACCAAATGGTCTTCAAGACAGCCTTAGGACCATCATAAAGCAGCTTCTAGCCAAAAAGGGTCCATCCTAAAAGGTTCTTCAAGACGACATTTTAAAACCATATTGAACCATTAAGTTTTAATATTATATTCTTAAAAAGTTCCTCAAGGCAACTTTAAATTTATGTATAAAAACTTATGGATTTTAATGAGTACATAAAGGGTACTTCATAAAACTACATTAAAACTATTTGTTCCAAAAAGGATTGTTTTAAAACCAATTTGCTATTTAATCCTTTAAAAAAGCAAATTAGTTTAAAAATAGCCAATGTCGAGAGTACTATAAAACCAGTATAAGATCAATAGGGTATTAATAGCAAATTTTTTTTATTTTAATTTTATATTGTATCATATGTTATTTGCAAAAAAAAAACACAGTGGATTTTTTTAATTACCCTAATATACATGGTGTATATTTTGCATACAATAATTACCTAATTCGATTAAATTATTTAAATTAATTATACTATTATACATATACGTATAATATTTTCAAACATTTTGTTTGTTTGTCCACTTATTAAATACTTGGAAAGTACTGTGATTAAGATCAGTTAAAATTTACATACTAAATACTTACATATAAATATTGTCGAGTTTCCTGAAAAAGTAGCCATAATTATCCTTATATGAGAGGTTAATTTAAATCCGCTAAAAGGCTGTTAATATTAATCTTGACTTTGAAATTTGAAAAAATCTTGTAGGTAATAATTATTAAGAACGATCTTACGTCTTTAATTTATGTAAATTATGAAGATTTACTGATAAGAAAAACATTCAGTAAAACTGTTTTACCATCTGACAAATTTTTAAGAAGCTTTTTTTTTAATAAAAACTAGTCGATTGGTCGTGTGCTTAAAATATTATTTTAAGATTAATTTCGTATTTCTTGATAAACTTCTTAACAGTTTACATGCTGTTAGCGTTTACAACTTGCCTAAAATACCTATAATCTCATGTTATAACGTTAAATTTGACGCAGGAGAATGAAGATTATGTTTCGAAAACTTAATCCTGACAGGTTTTAGGCGTTAGTGGGCATCACAATTTTTTTATTGAATTAAGTACATGTACATATGGGTGATTCTACAAAAGTTGGAAAACTTGATGTCATCAGTCAATGGAGGAGGTATTTTAATATTTTTTGTAAAGCACGTTTGTAGAAAAACATAATAAATATTCAAAACGTCAGTACCTTGGCGTGTCACAACTCCTGAATCAAATATTTGAGTGATTTTATTTTAAAATATATTCAATTTATCTTAAATTTTTCAATTTCACTACAAACTATAAAACATTAAATAATGTATTTTTCATATTTTATCATGGATTCGAATAATAGCAATTTTTAAAAAATTAATAATCTTTTTACTCACTTTTACCCGTCAGTTCTGTGTCCAATGTTAAAATTCAAAATTCCTGCGAAATATTGAAGTTTAAACGTCAAGTCCTCGTTTTAACTCAAGTGTTAATTAATCATTAATTTAAACGATGTTCTTTATCTTTAAAACAATAAATTTATCGTCTTTGATCCATGAACAGCAAACATAAATAATAACAAACTTAATAGAATAAACCATTTTTTATCGAATCGAGAAAAAATAAAAGCTCAAAATTATCGAAATAACCACATTAACTACTTTACTAAAGATAAAGTCGATTTATTGACTGATATTTGTTAGCTTAAAAACAACTTTTTCAACGATTTTTTTTACGAAATTTTTATATAAGCGGTACAGTAAGATTTTTTTAAAAATCAATTTTTGTTACATTCATAACATATAGAGGAAAAACAACATATAGAGAAAAAAACCTTTAATACAAAAATAGACTTCAATGGCTGAAAACAACGAACCTGATTTTAAGAAATCGCTATTTAATTAAAAAAAAACTAATTAAATTGTATTTATTAAACAAAAATACGAAAACCCCAGCATAATTGAACAATAAAATCTTGAACTTAAAATAACAGGTTGTCTTCTATATAATTTTTCATTGTTGAGCCTTTACTTTCGTATCACATAAAAGCATCTACAATACTAATTACCCCCAAAAACCTACCAGCTCTGGGACCAGCCCACTTTGATAAACATGTTTATCTGTTCATCATGGCTCACCCCGACTACCCTTAGCACATTAGATGAGACGCGATAAAACCCGAGCACTCGTCTCGTTGCCTATCGCACATTCCCGCCTTTCCGCACACTGTTGCCACGTTTGTGAATCTTCCTGAAACTGTATTGGGAAGTTTCAATGCTTTATAGGGCTAACCAAGTATACTTCTATGTATGGGTATCTTTTTTTATTTAAAGGGCTACAAGGTTGGTTAAATTAAAAAACTTGCCTAATAAGAAGTCTAATAAAATGCGAGAAATACGTAAATTTAACTTTTCGTCATTGGCAATTCTACCGACATGTGTACGAGGTGTGTTCAGAAAATATCGGGAATTTTCGTTTTTTGAAACAAATATTTATTTATTCGTCTACATTAATGTTGTCGCCTTCAAAATAGTCCCCATTGGATATTATGCACATGTGCCAGCTCTTCTTCCAATACTCGAAACACTTCTAAAACTCGATCTTTGGGATAGCCTTTAGTTCGTTCAGCGATGCGCTTTTAATGTCATATATGCTTTAAGGTTCTCTTTATTTTTGGGAATAGAAAAAAGTCAGACAGAGGCATGTCTGGCGAATATGGAGGCTGAGGCATCATTACAGTATTGTTTTTGGCCAAAAATTTTGTTCAAAATTTAACAGTTTTAGAACAAAATTTGCTGCCACGCGTTTCATACCCAAAACATTCGAAAAAATTTCATGGGATGAGCCAATCGATATACCAACATCATCAGCGACTTCTCTGATGGTTTATAACCATTTCTTCCACTTTTTCCATGTTTTTATCGGTTGTTAATGTGCTTGTGCGTTCGGGGCGTTCGTCATCTTCAACGTCTTCACGGCAATCTTGGAAACTCTTATACCACTTGTAAACTCTTGTTTTACTTATAGCAGACTCACTAAAGGCCTTTGTTAACATTTCACAGAATTTATTTCATTTTTTAAGCAAAATTGGATACAAATTCTTTGATCTATTTCTTTTAACGAACGAAAAATCGCCGAGCTCAAAAAACACGTCTAACCTTAGCGGCTGCCACAGACAAAGTAAACAATGAAAACAGCTAGTTTTAATCATACTTCGGGGGCATGTATACCAACATAATAAAGAAAATTGTATGACAACCGGACCCTCCGAACTCGCGAAATTTACCAATTCCCGTTATTTTCTGAACACACCTCGTATTAACAAGTAAAACTTACTCTTCTTGAAAATTCCCACAAATAGCAAAGTTATAGCGTTTTTTGGTTTTGAAAGTTTTCTTTGAAATATAACTAGATTTTGGTGTCCATGATAGGACCACTATGGTTTCCTCTCTTTATAAATGATAAAAAAGTCTAATTGTACCAAAGGAGATTAAACAAAAAAATAGTATATTTACCAACAAACTGTCTATGGTGTAAGTGGGGGAACTAGAAAGAGCATACGGCAACACTGCTCTTCAATTCGAACCACTTGTTGTATACGCGCGGCCGCTCAGTTCCAATCCGAAATGCGCACGCTAAGGACGTAGTGAATGTTTCAGTGCGAAATTAGTGACGGTGCGTTGTTGTTGTTGTTCGAAAATAACAATGTTGTATGGATTTGTGATTGTTTGAAACTATGCGCACGGACGTGTTGATTGTGTGCCTGTGCGGCAAGAGACGCAACAAGTTGATGGATTATTATTCGCTTCTTCTTTCGATTATTTGTCTGATAAGTGCAACCTCCGCTTCTATCATGGGAGACGAGTGCGACTGGACCGGAAGGTATTTGTTTATTTCGTTCATTACGTTTGATTGCCACTGTCAAAGACAGATTTGCGAAACGAGGGACTTCATCACTCTTAAGGGGACAATCTACTCTCGAACATCCAGCGATAAGCAAATGTTTTGGTCCCCCAAATCTGACAGACTTGATGTAATGTGATTTTATAAAAGTTTATTACATGATCAAAAAATGTTCGTGTTTTTAAGGCTTCGAGTGGTAGAATGTCCCTCAATTAAAACAATTATTATAACTATTACTAAATGCAAATATTGCAATGCTCGTTAGTTTCCTCAGATTTGTTTTTCATCGTTAATATTAATTAACTTTGTTTTGTAATACGTCCATTAAAAAAGCCATAGTTTCTTACGAAACAATATTATTTCCTGTTTATTAGCTAACATAATTATAAATGTTTAATCGACAAATTACGCTGAAATATAACACCAAATGATGAAAACTAAAAATGTTGGTTTAAGGTTTTTATGTGTATAAAGTTAGAAACACTAAAAATATGTACTTAATTTACAAAAAAACTCATATGGCATATGTTGTCCAGTAAAATTATGTTCCCCAATGATCAATGCCTTTATTGGCTATTTTATTTGTCATGCAAGATTTTTGAGTCATTTATGCGTAGGACAAACATTAGTGGTCACAACACAGACCCTTGGGGCACCCCAGTAACTACATCGATGTTTTGATTGAAGACACATTAAAACAAATATTTTTTTTTCTGATTGCAAGTCATTTATGGGTAGGGCAAACATTAGTGGTCACAACACAGACCCTTGGGGCACCCCAGTATCTACATTTATGTTTTTTTGCCATTCAAAAAAAACATATATTTAATTTTTTTTTCTGATTCGAGGTAATTGTTACTGGAAACACTAAAACCGCCCGTCATAAGAGCGGTCGTAAAATTTGTAAGCGACTTTTTATCGCTTTGATGGATTAAATCAAGCAACACGATCTCTCGGCCGCGTTCTGATTGGAACAACGGACGGGGCAGCGACAGTCGACTGTTTCTCCAGCGTCTGCTCGTTTCAGGGGCGATCGGGTTACGTTTTTAAATATCGAATTTAAATTTTAAATGGCACCGAAGATGCATTATTGAAATATTAAGTTTTTAAAGGATGTGCGCCATGTAACCCGATCGGATTAATTTTTTGCGTGGAGCAATTAAGAAAAAAAAGTACCTATAAAATTATAAAACGTCTGAGATACGTCTCAGCCAATCAAAAGCACTTTGTGTTGGGGAATATTTTTAATATTTGTTTAACAAACCTGTTGCCATTTGACAATAGACACTGGAGCCCTATGGATTCTGGATTATATTTCCTGAAAGAGGTTTTTTAAAAATCTGTCAGACTATACGCTAAAGAAGTGGTTAAAAAAATATCGAAAAAAAACTCTCGATTTGTTGTTTTGTTGGGTGTATTTCGAGAGGAAATCCTGGGTTGAGTTTTTACCGGTTTTTGGAAACAGTGTTAATCTGAATGAAGAAATAAATTGCATACAGTCTCTGTAAATATAAATTGTACCTATTAGATACAATAAATACACATTTTAGTAGTGATTAACGTGAAAAGTGTAAACATTTCAATTCAGTAAAAATTGTCGTCTAATTTTAAACAGCATTTAGCATTATTAAAAGCGTTGATTACGAAAGTCTCCACTCAACGGTAAAATACCATTATATGTATTATATATAATATTATGTTGCCATGAATTCGTAGGTATATTTGTTGTTTAAAATGCAGTTGTCGGCGTTTTTTAGAGAACTCAAACATAAAAATGGTTGATTTTAAGGTTATGTTTGTGCAAAAATTATTTTTTACTAATTTCTTAAAAATGCCCAAACTTAAATATAAATTATATTAGATAAAGTTATCATTAGTTTATTCTGCACCAAAAAATGTACTTACCGAATTGGATCTTTGGCAAAACATGAAAATGCAACGATTTAGTTCTTGAATTTTATTTACAATTAAAAACACAATAATTCACCATGATCCCTTAGATAAAATGCACACACTAACGTAACTATATAATCATTTAAGCGTTGAGTTTCTTAATCAATGATGTAAGGAATAATCAATCGAAATCAAGTACTAAAAAAGTTTTTTAATTTTTCCTTGCAACGTAAAACACAAATAACGTGCGCGATTTAGCTGTGCAATTGAACAAAATTTGTCGAGTAAGACTTCTGCATCTTTAGTAAAAAACTACCTATTTATTTAAAAATGATGTACAGTTCGTATGAACAATTTATTTCTGCTTCCTTCTGATACTACTGACATTATTTGGATTATGTTGGTAGTCCTAATGTTGGTATACTATTATAGTACGTTTAATATAGTGTGTTCCCGCCTAAATGAACTGAACTGACTCTGTATATTTACGTAACTCTAGAACAAATACACAGCGTTTTTTAAAATGATAAACTTGTACAAGTCTGCGTTAAAAACGTGGAAAATGCGACTGTATTATGTTTCACAGGCTTAATAATCCCCATTTTATGGTAAATATTTACGCAAGCCGGTATTCTGTATACAGATCCAGTCTGGTCTTAAGTGGTAAGAACTTTGAGACGATATCTACTGAAGTACCTACTTTTGTTTAGTCATTTTGCATTGTAAACAATATTTAACATTACCCAATTTAAAAATTAACAGTTCCCCGAAATCTTAATGGTGTTTATCCATTTTATGTTTAAACTAGCCGATAATTCAATTTTTATCGAATTATGTAAACTACGGAGCTCATGACAAAGTACGTTGCGTTTTTCGAGATAAAATAAAGGTTAAGGAACAAATATTACCTGCACCTCGATATAAGAGAAAAGATAACCGTATCTAAAGTAAAATGAGTCCGGATGGTGCATCTAGTATAAATACTTCTTAAGTCAATTTTAGATAAGATATTATTTATTTGTTTTACGCTTTAGCAGGTAATAAAAGTATTTGTCGATATACCTATATATATATATATATATATATATAGATAGATAAAAAATTGTTTGTTGCCGTTTTGCTTAAGAGAAGTTTATCGGATGGGAAAGTGTTTTAGTGATTTATATTTTATTGGAATTGTAAATCGTTATAAATCATCAATTTATTTTTATAACGCCATTAAATATACAACAAATTTCCTTTAGAAGATTCTACTTCCCATACTATAAAATTGTTAAAATAATTAATTACCTAACGCCATAAAAACACAAACAACTGTTATATCATTATTTTTACGGCAAAAAGATCATTTTTATAAAAATTATTTATCTACATACGCTGCTTTCAGTAATTTGCATTAATTATGAAGTAAATTTACGTTCTGTTTATAAAAATAACACTCTTCCAGATGCAGAAACGCATTGATAAATATAGTTATTATTATTTGTCCAAAAAAACAGTTCCCTGCCTTTTACAAAAACGTTTTGTAGTATTAATGAAACACTAATGGTATTATTCATAGAAATTTTGTAAATTTTACAAATCCCTTTTTGTTTAAAATAAAACTTTTTTATAATATTAATAAAATTTATGTAAATTTAAACACACATTAATTGTTAATTCAATAAACTATTTTCATTGTAACAATGATCACATTTTCAACCTAGTGTTGGGTAGTTTTTTTTAAATAATTGCAAACAAATTATTTATTATAACAAAAAAATTAACTCATATTATATGATGTACAAAATAAACAAAATATTAACTCACTTTTTAAAGTCTGCTTCGTTTATAAAATAGACTTTAAATGTTTCTTTTAGAAAACGTCAAAATTTTAATTTTTTTAGTGATCTTTTTGATATTTTTATCATGCTTAATTTTACCACACTTCACTCGCACAAGTAAAATCAATAAATTATAACACAGACTTTGGATTATAAAGTTAAAATAACAAAAATTTTGTTACCATTACAAAACAATAGTAAATATTAAAAAATCTTTTTATAGCAATAAAATATTTTTGTTATTGTTCTTAACGTAAGCTATTAACAAAGATTTTCTAACTGAAATAAAATTAATTTGAATTACAACGAAAAAAACAAATATGCCATAGTAAAATGAACAAATTTTATTATAACAACTGCGCATTACTTTATGTACATAAGCGCAATTCACACACAACTATAGATTTAACAAAAACATTTTAAGTTCGACAGATTTAATTTAAACATAAAGTATTTTTTATTGCCATGACAATATGATAACAACTATTACTTTGTTGGATTAATTTTTTTTATATAAAAGCTCAACATTGCTGCTTCATTATAGTAAATGAGAATTTTGTTAACAGTAAAATAGTTTATTCTGTAAATAAAAATAATCTCATTACTTTTGTCCCAATAAGACACTGAAAATGTAATAAAAAAGGTACCTTAGGTGGTACATTTTTTTTTATAGCCATTACAATTTTAAATTTAAGTTAAATAATATTATTTTATTAATCGCTTACAAAATTAGTTTCATTATCAGTGCATGTACATTTTTCTGCATAAAATCAATGTTGGTCATTTCTTGAAAAGTGTAAAGTACCATTTTTTTTTGGAAATAACAGTTTGTTAGAAACTCAAAAGAAGAGCATTAGAACTTAAGTCAATTGACAAAAAATTTCATCCCAACCTTATCAATATTGGATCAGTCGAAATCCTCATTTTACCAAACCTGCCAAAGACAATATTTCAAAAAAGTTAAAGTAAACCGAGATGAGATCCCTCTTTCTTTGTTACTACATCTTTTACGTAATTTTCATTGTATTATATCCCCCATTTAAAAATTAAGATTTATTATTGTATCCATTGAATTCGAAATGTAAATGACAAGAAACCCGACCGAACAATACTTTTGACTTGTTGCCTTGGAAAAAATGAATCACACCGAATTTTTCTCGAAGACAAAACAAGCCACACCAAGACTTTTTATTATTAAACAATGCTCCACATTATGCCATTAGTTTTAATGGCGTTTGTTATTCTATAAGGGAACGAGCAAGG